TTAGATCCCTCTATCTCGTTGGTTACAAAGACTAGTTCATGTTATTCTTTTGTTCTTGGTGAACATGAAGCTTGGAATCAATCTACATAATGTCATGAATAAAGCTAAAATTTCCAGAGGTAGATATCTTGGAATATGGAAGTACATTAATGACCATTCAATTCTAAAGATTTGATGGAACGATTCTTAATCACCTTTCTGAAAAAGTTGCACATATTTCACTGTCTAAACTATTTTCTTGTTTGATTAACTCTTTTATTTGTTTTCTTATATTGTTTATTCTTTTGTATCACTTTTAAAGGGAATCTGACGGTGGAAACTCTAAGCCTAATATGCAACTTTTGACACATCATTGTTCCTAGAAGCATGTTGTTGTATGTGACTAAATCTCTGTAAATTTCTCATTAGCGAGACCATATGCTGAGAACATTGAGTCACCCCCTCACGCTGACTGTCTAGCATTGTCTAAACTTTCTAAGTGAGATTGTATGATCCAAATAAAAAATCGATAAAATGCTAGGGAGTTAATTTTTTATTCAATTATCTCTCACCTAACCTTATCCCTGGAAGCATGCTTGTCATATGCATCAAGTCTCATGTTCTACTAAAACATTGAGCAAAACCAAATGGCTTACCCTGATTGCATAGTCATCAACATAAGAGATGCTTGTTTGTTCCTTTTATGACAAAGGGTTGTTCATGTCCCTGACCTCCTAGTCTGAGGTGTGACATGGTACCTTTATGAATTAACGATGAATATTTGATTATAGATTGCACTTTAATCTATGATACAGAAGTTTAAACCACTTCTTGTTGTTGAGTTAAACTGTTAATAATTCATGTTGATTTCACCTCAACATGACTGAAACAATCCATTCTCTCTGTTATCTCCTTAATAAAACTTAACGATTCACTATGTTACACCACAAACTGATAAAAGTTTGTAACTCTGTGCCGATGGTTACTCTATGTACCGTAGGCTATCACATGCACCAATCCATTCTTGCCTTTATATTCTTCTTTAAAGTTTTATGATTCAACGTAAGTACCATAATGAGAGCTTTAAAAATATGTACCGATGGGTATATCATTGTATGTGATATAGTACACACACCTATCCACTCTTGCCATTTTTATTCTAATAAAAGTGATTTATGAATCAGCGTATGAATCCACGCGATGATGAGTTCTCGCAATACTATGTCAATAAATGGTAGTTTTAGCCTGCACTATTAGGAGACATCATAAACTAACTATATGATCATCATCAATTCACTCGTTGACCGCTTAAGCTGATGCTCATTGCTGTTGATGACCTGTCTCACTGAAGTAACTACTTTGTCTCAACGGTAACTTTTTGGATAACGTCTAAAAGATCCGCCATTATCTTGGGATACAATATATTTATGGTGTATATATCGTCACTCATGATTACGTACATGGAAGAAACTTTTTGGGTATATATTGAGAATTCTTCATCCCTAGTCCCTTTTACAACAAATTAAATCAATTAAACTCTCTCCATCTCTCTTTCTCTCTCTCTCTCTCTCTCTCTCTCTCTCAAAAGAACTTCAAACTGTCATCTTCCTTAAAATTTTCACCATGTCAAAGACATTGTACGAGTTTGCCCCTAGTGCTAGCTTCATCAAAGGTCCTCATGCTCATGAATCCACGATTGTGCTTAAACTAGCTAAAATTTTATGCTTCCTAGGGTTGAATCCACGATTGTGCTTAAACTAGCCAAAATTTTATCTTTTGACATTTATCTTTAAACTATAACCTACCATTTATGTTTTGGTCATAAAAGGTTGACAACCTTTCCAGCTGACATGTATTTAGTTGGCTGGTTTTCGTTTTTGGTCATAAAAGGTAGTTCTGGATTCATCACACTAACTTCAAAGTTATTTATTTTTTTATTTATTTTTTTATTTTCCAGTCCAACTAACTTGAAAAAAACATGTTAGAACCCTAATCAAATAAACAAAAGGGTTTATATGTGTTTGTTGAAATAGGTATTTTTGAAGTTAAAATTGATTCAAATTGTCGGTTGGCCACGAAAAAAATAACACCATTTCTTCTATTGTAGTCTTTTGATCATTCTTAATTTTTTTACTTTCAAATTGTAGTCTTTTGATCATTTAAAGGTGAAGAACAAGGGAATATTTGAAATTGTAACATGAGCAACACTTACAAGAACAACAACCATAAGACAAAAGAAGGGCCAATTTACAAAAAACAACAGTAACAAATCTGGAACCACTTAAATTGTTTTGTGACTTTTTACATCTATGTTTGATTTTTTTGGTTAGTTTGTTTGATTTTTTTTCTGTTCACTTTATAAGTTATTTCAAGTTTTATGTGGTTATCTACTTAAATGATTCTTTACTTTTGGTGTATGTGTTTTTTTAATTGTGTCTTTGTGTGTTTTACAGTTGAGTTTCTAGCTTGTATGCGAAGGGAAACAAAGTTTCACTAGCAAGCAACAACAGGTATCATTGGACACTTTTAGAATGAAGGTATGAAGCAAAAATATGAAACGTATGTTAATTTGTTCAAAATTTCAACTAATCATTGATTTTAATAGGTTATGGAGCAAAAAATGAAGGTAATTTTTGTTATGGTTTGCCATACTATATAAACAGGTTATATTACAAGTTATTTTGGGTTTTTGATGTTTTAATTATCTTTTGGTTGCATGTGGGTGTCATTTGATATAGGAAAAAAGTATAACCTTGCAAAAGGATACTTTGAAGAATACACAGAACAAGATGAACTTTGCATCTCCATGAGTAATTTTTTGTTCACACATCTACTTAAACAAAGTTGTTAAGCTTCTCTAACATTGGATCTATGTGATGAATGGAATTCTTATGTGATTAGTTTGCTTTGATTTTATCCATATGATGAGTTTGTGTTATGTGTTATTGGAATTTTTATGTATTTTTAAGATGTATTTTGTTGATGTGTTCATATTTGGAAAATAACAAAGAAAAAATCAAGTTTAAATACTTTTTTATAACCTATTTTTTAAAAATTACAAGCTCTTTACATTTTAACTTTTTAGAACTTTCTCAAAAAAAATTTTACAATATTTAGTAAAAGTTCCTATAACTTTTTACGAATCTCACTTATTTATAACTTTTAGAAACATTATTGTTGAAAAAAAGATAAAAAAAGTTGTATCAAAGTGTAAAAATAAAGTTTAAACAAAGTTGTAAAAGAGGTTTAAAACGCTCTAAAAAAAGTTGTAAAATAGTTTCAAAATGTTGTAAAAAAAGTTTTAAAATGTTGTAAAAAAGTTTTTTTTAAAAAAACTATTGTAAAAAGAATAAAATATTTAAAAATAAATTTGTCAAAAAAACAAAAACTAATTTTGTGGCCGAATTTGCAAGAAAAATAGTGTACACTATGATCATAACAAAATTCAAAGTTCATAAGCAATAACATAAAAAAATACATGTGCCATCTTTGTTAATTGCGGTAACCTATGTTTTGTCTAAATAATCAAGACATTTTGAGGTTTGAGTCAACCGTCCTAATAAAAAAAGAGAAATTAAATATCCTTTTATTTTTGTTCCTACAAATTTTCCTATTAAATTAAATGATAACATGTATTATTTTAGAAAAGAATAAAATGATGAATTGAATTTAAAGTTTTATATGATTTTTGTTGAGTGAACATATCTTTTTACTTGTACATTGTAAGATTTACTATGCATATATTTAATAGCTATATACTTTCATTATTTATTTCTTGCAACTCTACGTTATAAAATTTCATTTATATTCTAACTATACATTCCCAATTTTAAATTTAACTATTTTTTATGAAAATTACATTAGTAAACATAAGAATTTTCTTTTTTTAATGTGTAATTTATAGTGTCCACCTCTTGACAAATTTGAGTAATAAATAGTTTGTTATTTTCTTTAAAAGGAAACTCTGGTTTTAGGATTTTAGACATTGTTGTAACATAATAAAATAAATAAATGTAAACTATAGACTTTTGAGTTTTTGACTTAGATATTAATAATGCATTTTGTGATTTTTGGAATCAAATATGTTATCATGAAATATAAATGATTTATTTTCGACAAATAGATCCAACATATGAAACTAATCTCTGAAAAAATTTATCGACACACATTGTTTGATATTTGTTTAGTTATAGTAAACTATTTACGCAAATAAAACTAATTACCTTTATAAATTAATATCAAGGTAAAATACTAGTTTCTTAAAATAAGTGTAATATACATTAAAGCGTTTCACTATCTTTAAGAGTCTTCTTTACTTTTAGCGTTTCACTATCTTCAGAGTCTTCTTTACTTTTAGCATATCCATTAGAAGATCCGGATACTCGATCCCAATCTGTCAAAATAACATTAGTCAATCTTTCTTTATATTACATATTTTAAATTGCAAATACATATACAAAATCTTATCTCCTTTTAGAATATTATATTATTTTCTATTGCAAACTAGCTATTATTATTATTTAAAAATATAAAAAATTGCATTACACGATAACAAACAACGTTAGACGGAAAAGGATCATTTAATCATATCATAATATTTCCTCTAGAATACTTATTCTTAAGAAGGGTTCTCAGAGAAACTTCAACTTTATAAACTAATAATACGTAATTAATTTAAATAATTTTATAGCAGTCTATGATCTATATTTTTATTTTTTAACATTTTAATACACATTAGGAGCTAAAGTTATACATGAACTCTAATAGTCATTTTCAATGTAAATGATTTTGGAAATGAAGCATGTAAATAATATTTTTGTTATTAAATAAACTTATTATGAATAGGAAAAAACTGTTAATAATTTTTTTTAATGTGTAACATAAATCAAATTTACTGTTTATAATTTATACCCAATTCGATAAAAAAATGTGTGAATAATTGTTTATTCCAAAAATACCCTTTTTTTTGTCTCTAGAGAAGGAATTAAACCAGAGATATTCTCGTATAAACCAAAAGAATATTCCAATTCCGCCCCTCCGCATATGCTTCCCCTTCATATCAACCTTCACCCACTACCTTCCCCTCCATAACCTCAACTTAATTCGCACACCCAATTCAATAAATCCCAAAAAATCGATACCCATCTCCCCAAATCCCCACAAAACTCAAAACCCATTTCACGTAATCAAGAAAAAAATCATACCCATTTGAAGAGCGACATGAAATTCGGCAAGAGTCTGAGCAATCAGATCGAACAAACATTGCCTGAATGGAGAGATAAGTTCTTGTCTTACAAGGACCTCAAGAAGCAATTGAAGCTAATCAACCCACAAGGGAAATCCGGCGATGTTTGTAACAGGGAAGCTAAAAGACAGCGGGTTTCCGGAGATTGGACGGCGGGTGATGCCGGAATTGGAGGAATGTCGAAGGAGGAGATTGATTTCGTTGATTTGTTGGAGAAGGAGATTGAGAAATTTAACTCGTTCTTCGTTGAGAAAGAGGAAGAGTATATCATCAAATTAAAGGTAAATTTCTTCATCAAGTTTTCCTGCTATGAACTTGTTTTCCGATGGAACGCCTATAGTATTCCATGTTTGTACATGATGCAGATATAATAGTACATTAAGGTACAACTTTCCACTGCACAAGTACAAATCCCTAACCCTGTTCTTGTCACTCTTTGAGCATATTAATCGTGATCCATGAGTTTTAATGTACAACATGATTATGCATAAAAACATAACCTCGCGTAGCCACGTGAAGCAAGTTCTATATTCTCTGCATTATGATATTGTACATTTGTTAATCATGTCCATGTCTTCATGCATTGGTTACAATCATTTAATGCATAATAGAATGTGAATTTTCTCTTTTGGGTATTAAAGAGAGAGAGAGAGATTCCTCTTGAGTGGATGTCTCTTTTCCACAGATTCTTTCAATTTGAACCACAAGAAAGATTCCTTGACAATATTATCCTTAGATTAGAATATATATTACTTTTCGGCCCATGAATATTGCAACCTTTTATACTTTTTTGATGCTTTATATTAAATCAAACGTTACTATTATTTAGGTCCACAACATTAACTTACCAACATTTTTCAAAAACTTTATTATGTCAAATTGCAAAAAATGACACCCAACTTTTTACATCAGGAACTCCAAGATCATGTGGCAAAAGCAAAGGATTCAAGTGATGAGATGATAAAAATTCGAAAAGAAATGGTTGATTTCCATGGAGAAATGGTTTTATTGGAGAATTATAGCGCGCTAAACTACACAGGTAAATATATATATTTTTCTTTAAAAAAAATTATATTTTTTATTTGGAAATCTTTTTTCTCCGAATTTAACAATCTAATAATTATGATTTAATCGAACAGGAGTAGCTAAGATTTTGAAGAAATACGATAAAAGAACCGGAGCCGTTCTTCGTTTACCCTACATTCAAAAAGTCCTGCAACAACCATTCTTCACCACGGACTTGCTTTTCAAGCTCGTGAAAGAATGTGAGGCGCTGCTAGACCTGCTCTTCCCTCTAACTGAACCGTCAGCTTCATCAGAAGAGGAAGCTGACAGTACTGGTGCTGGCGACACTGATGTCGCCAGCACCTCGGGAAGCGCAGGACAGTTGAGCGCTAGAGAATATGCTGAGCTTGAGTACATGAAGAGTTTATATACAAAAAGCACGATTTCTGCTTTACGGGTTTTGAAAGAAATAAGAAGTAGGAGCTCGACTGTCAGTGTATTTTCATTGCCACCGATGCAAGTGAGCGTGTTGGAGGAGACTTGGAACAAGTTTCCGGTGCTTGAACAGTTAGCAAAGTAGGAAGGGGAGTTTTTATACTTTGATGTGTTTTTTTTTTTTTTTTTTTTTTTTTTTTTAATTAAAGTTTGTGAGTGGGTATTAGATAATAGATATTGACTACGATAGTAAAATGCATAGATATAAAGAACACACGGAATTTTTCCGTTATGATTGATACGTTGAACACTAAATTCGTATACTTTTGTGTATATCGCATTTTGAGCTTACGTTTTGGTTATGTTATAATTTTATGTGGGATACTTTAACGACTAAAGTAATTATTTGTTTTCTAGAGACTATAAGGTGAGGTCGGATGATACAGAATAAACTTTATTTAACAAAAAGATGAACGCTTTATATTGACCATATAAACTAACAGTAATAAACTATTGAATAGCATGGCTATGGTTAGAGAATAGGGATGGAGGCAAGAAGTTTAAAAAGAATTTCGATCAAATATAGTAACATAAAAAAAAAAAAATTAAAATCGATTGTCGACAGCAGTTTTAGAGAGAGGGTCGACTATAGTGTTGTTTTTCTTTTAATAATTTGTGGGCTTGTGGCCTCCCTAGCTCTTTCTTTATGATAATCGGATTATACAAACACACATTTGAGCTAGGTGCATTGAATTATTACTTATTTAATTGGATTGTTACTTATTAGATAAATATTGGGCTTTTTTTTAGCAGATTTTTGCTATCATTTGTAGCATCATATTTGTTTGTTTTTGAACCTATAGTTGCACATAATATTTTTTGTAGTTGCACATTAATACACACATTTTTTTTACAAAATTTTATACTTCTAGGTCGATATCGAGTAGTTGCCCATGCCAACCCTAGAAAGAAGACGAAAATACCCGAATCGGAAACTTTTGGGATGAGTTTTGGGCCTGGTAATGGTTATGAGACAGGTATTGGATTTTTTTCTTCTAAACATTGTGTGGGAACAAAACGATGAACACTTTTATTTTTTATATACTTATAACTTGAGTGATGTTATCCTCGCTTTGCAGGGCAACAAAAAACCTGCCAATATACAAAAATATATGACCAAACTTGCTAATATAGGAAAGTTTTCTGGCTAAAGCCTGAAACCCAAAAAGTTTAAAGACCAGACTTGTCAATATATGAAATAATAGGGACCAAAGTTGTCAATATACGAAAGTCATGTGGCCTTAAAACCCAAAAGATCTAATGACCAAATCTTGGATATGAAAATCTTGTGGCCAAAATAAGAAACATATTAAATTCTCAAAGCCAAAATCGATGTGGCCAAAGCCTCAAAGCATAAAAGTATATTATTGCAAATGTCATTTGATTTTAATATTATAAATAATATATTATAGCTAAGGCTGTGTTTGGCGCGTCACAGCTAACTTATTTTTTGAGCTTTTTTATGTTGTCGTATTTGGTAAACTAAAAAGTAGCTTATAAGCTAGCTTTTTGAAAAGCTACTTTGACTAGTTTTTTATAAGTTTTTAAATTTTTTTTCAAATACACCCTTTAATTAATTATAGAAACACATACTCTTACATGTTTTTTTTATGTAATTTTATATATTTCAGTTAGTTTTACCAAACATTATTTTTTATCAGCTAACTTTTTTTTTTTTTAACAACTAGCTTTCAACTAACATATAGTTTTTCAGCTAGTACGTCAAACATAACTTAAGAAGTTTATGTAATTACTACTTACATCTTAATTTATAATATTAACCTTTTGGATGATGTGGGATTATATTTATGTAACATTTTATTAGATATTAAACTTCTTGACGCCGTTAAAAACTATAATTATTAAAAGAAATTGATTTATTTTTTGGATATGATTATTATCTTGTTTTAAGTAATAAAAATTCCATTGAGTAAATTTTAACCGATTAAAATTATAAACAATGAGCTATATTTACAAACCGATAGTTATTTACTAACCTCATACCATACAGTGAAGACATAACCGAGTTAGAAATATTATTTTACATTTTACAATATATGTATAAGCTTCAGGCTCACCGCTCACCAATACACGAATACCCGTGTCATACCCCTTTGGGTTTTAGCCCTTTCATTGTCATCTCTAAACATGGCATCTTCTTAAAAAGGAAAAAAAGAAAATATAAGATGCCAAGATGTGATGTAATATTTTTTCTCCCTAAGAATACAAAATGCTTTACATCATAGCATACATGATTTCTTCACGACTTCAAATTACACTCACAGTGTCGTTACGGACTTTCTTCCTTTCAAGTGATTGACTGGCCCTTCTATGTTCGACTAATTACACTTTCAGTCCCTAATGATTTGTAGTAACAGGAGGACTGTCTTCTACTCTTCTAACCAGAGGTAATATTACTAGGTCAAATATACATTTTAAAAAACAGCTAAAACTAAAATGTGGGTCAAACGGATTGAAAGTCACTCAAAATGTTTTATATTGTTAGAATGATATAGTTTTTAATTTAATCATATTTAATACAATGATTATTTACCAAATTATAATTTTTTTTGATGATTTGTGTGATCATCGTCTCTACGATATATGATCCTTTATATTCAAAGAAGTTTCTTCCTCCTTGGACTCTAGCAAGCAGCAAGAATCGCGTTCCCTTATTCCCTATTGTAATGACCCGTCTCTGGTATGTTGCTTTTATAGTATTTATTTTAGAAGTTTGTAGAGGGATTCGACGAGTCTATGTCCCGACTCGTCGAGTAGGGTCGTGATCTTGATCAGCTAATAGATCGGCGACTCGGCGAGTCCATATTCGGGACTCGGTGAGTCGGCCTGCCAGGTAGAAACCCTAAATCCCCGGGTTTGCATCCTATTTAAACCATCTTATGAGCCCCAAACTCGTCTCCTTTACCCTCAAAGCACTATTTAACAAACCCTAATCATTTCATTGAGTATTTGAGCATTCTTTGTGCAACCTTGAAGTTTTGAAGAGAAGGAGAAGGCTAGATTCAAAGAAGAAGAAGAATATCCAAGTCTTTGCACCCATTTCAGAGTATTTTGAGGTAATAATCGGTTTCTTCCTGTTTTGATGATTGATTCTCCTTTATAAGCATATTTAGCCCATTCTTTAGCTTGTTCATAGTAGAGAAACCATGTTGGATGGGTTAGCTTCCGAATCTAGCCATGTTTTAGTTCCAAAAACGTAGATCTATTAACTTTGTGGAGCCATTTTGCATGTTAGCCCTAGATCTACTCTTCCAAGTGCCTTTTTAGCCTTTATATCCTTTTGTATGCATTTGTACACGTAAAGTTGGGAACTTTATGTGGTAAACCAGCCTTAGGAACTCAGATCTATATATTGTATGCATTGGTTTTGAGCAGAATCGAGTTTTTAGTGATTGCATACATGGGACTCGGCGAGTCGTTCTTCGGACTCGGTGAGTCGAGTCGCGAGTCCCCGATTCTTCCGCTTTGAGTGATTCCGAGTGGGAACCAGTGAATAGTGAAATGGACTCAGTGAGTTAGAGGTTAGACTCAGTAATGGAAGGACTCGACGAGTTGTTCATACAACTCGGCGAGTCCAAGGCAATCTTCTTAAGATTCAAGAACAACTTGGCGAGACGGATGCAAATGACCTGAGTGTTGGAATAGAATGGGAACTCGTCGAGTATATGCCATACTCGACGAGTAGCAGCGAGCAGGGTTGATAAATGAGAGTAGAGACTCGGCGAGTTGGCGGCCCAACTCGGCGAGTCAGGTCAACTGAAAGTTGACTTTGACCAGGAGAGTTGACTTTAGCCAGGGGTAAAAGAGTCATTTTACCCCAATGCAGTTATTAGTATTTGATTGAATATATTTGTGGAATTGTAGCCGGGGAGATACCGGAGCAGCAACAGATAGTTTCCAGAGCCACACACTCAGCAGCCAGATCACGAGGTGAGTTTCCTTTCAGTAGGAACGGGTCTAAGGCGACAATGTCGGCCCGTTTAGCTAGTAGTAGTTTCCGGACTTCGGTCCGATGCAGATTTTATTATGTTTGATGCCTTCGTGGCTCAGACAGGATTTCTGTGTTATGTGTTTCGGGTTACAGCCCGATGTAGTATGCTATTTATGTGCTCATGTTAGTTGATATGCTTATGTTATGCTATGTTCAGTAGTTCCGGACTTCTGTCCGATGCAGTCAGTTCCGGACTTCGGTCCGATGCAGTTAGTTCCGGACTTTGGTCCGATGCAGGAGGCAAGGCCTCAGTAGTTCCGAATTTCGATCCGATGCAGAGGGCAAGGCCCTGGTTAGTTCCGGACTTTGGTCCAATGCAGTTTCCGGACTTCGGTCCGATGCAGTGGGCAAGGCCCAGTATGTGTTTATATGTATTGTATGGTATGTGGTAGTTTGGGGGAGCTCACTAAGCTTCGTGCTTACAGTTTCAGTTTTGGTTTCAGGTACTTCCGCAAGCAAAGGGAAGAGCTCAGGTTGATGGCATCGCACACACCACAACTTCAGTTGTCCTGGGAGTTGTTTTTAGTTTTTCATAGATGGGATTTGATACAGTATTGATACAGTTTACTCATAACACTTTGCTATTGTTTTTGAGATATTGACGTACGAGTTTTACCTTATGATATTATCATGGTGTTTTTAGTAATTATTAAACAAAAATTTTTGGGTCGTATTTTGGGATGTTTCACCTATTGTATGTCACGTTTTTTTGCCAACAAGAAACTATAAAGGGTTTAATTCCCTTATTCCCTCTTGTATGTCACGTTTTTTTGTCAACCATATTATCAAAAGAAAAAAAAACTCTAGCAAGAAGCTAGAGAACAAACAAAAACCATTACAAATTGTTTAAAGGAAAATGCAACCAACAATTCCAAAGAAAAGTATGTTTTCTAAACTTATTGTTGATCAAGAGAAAAGAATTGTCTGGTAGAATCAAAACTAATATCTTTTCTGATGTTACCACCACCAAAAACTTTATCTGAAACCTTCACAAGTATCATATTGTATTTGTAAGTTATCCGCTTGCTCGAAAAGTTGCGTAATAAAATCAAATTGTTCTGCTTTCAAATTACATATCAGGCACAAAGTACACAATACATCAA